GAGTGACACACAGAGAGTGACACACTAGGTCTCTGATGCCGTGGCAGAGACAAATACGCATTGAACGTCCTCCGCGGCTGAGATGAGGGAGCGAAATATGGCCTCCATGGCTAAGATTAAGGAGCAAGGAACGGACTCTTTAGCCAAGAAGACTGAGAGAAAGCTGAGTAAGTAGTGGCATCAATGGCTGTGACAGGGATCACAGGTCATGGGAACTCTGGGAATGTCATACTTGAGAGCTCTGAGACTACTCCTCTTTCGGCCTCCTCCTCTGTGCTGGAGTCAGTGCGTTGTCCAGACTGGAGGATGGGGACCTAGAGGGGTCAGCGGGAAGGAAATTTCGAGTGGACTCTGGAGGTTCTGGGATAACCATAGGGAACAGTGGAGGCACTAGAGAAACTGCATCAGTGCAGCTGAGGTCCTCCTTCCACTTCTCCCATGATGAAAGAGGAATCCATTCTGTTAAAGGGCCAGAAACTGGCAGAGCATCCCTTGTGATCCACCGTCAGACAACAGTAATCGTAAGGGTTTGTTATTGAAGAAACTAATGACTATATCATCCTCATAATTCACTACATTTGCCATTAGTAAAAATTCACAAATGTGTTCCTTGAGGGAAAAATTGTCCTGGGTGAGGCTGATGAGGCTAAATTCTGGAATGACAGGTAATGCAGGTAAGTATATGGATAGATAAAACAAGGAAAGCACATGACTTGATGTTAACAGTTCTTTCTTGTCAAGTGAGACGAGCACACAAGGAGACCAGGGAGTAAACACAGCGGATCAACAAAGGAGCAGACAGGCAATGAAGAACAACAATGGAGAACAGGTAATGGTGAACAGACGATTGCGAACAGATGACGGAGATGTCCATGTAAGTATATCCAACAGGTAAGATAAACAAAAGAGTCTGAACATTCTTTGGTAAACAATGAAGAGACCAGACAAAGTGAGTATAAATGGGCTACATCCGAAACCTTCGGCAGCGGACTTGTTGCCTCGCTGCCTTATCGTGCTATGACTTTGCAGGCAGTGTTTGCGCACAAAGGTACTTCACAAAACTGATTGATAGACATCTGAGCAGTTTATTGATCTACAGCAAAATAGAGGGAGCTTTATATTTAAGCAAATATTGAATTACTACAGTAGTTCAGTACATTTACACACAAACTGACCAGCAACCGGAACTTTCAGATGCCATCTTTCTTTTTCTAGCTCAACTGTTAAATAATGGAACACATAGGATTGTGGGATATCAAAGGCGAAGGATACATCGATGCTGCCTTCAAAAATTGATGAGATGAAGAAATCTTAGGAGACAGGAAGTGAAGCTAACATTGGATTCGGACGTGCCTTTGGTTCCAACCTTGGAATGCGTCCTCTGAAGGTAGCATTTTTAAATTTTCGGATGCAGCCATCCCTGTTGAGCAGGTAATGATGGCCAGGTGTGTGCAATTAAAATGTGGGTGAGAGTGAGCAAAGTTGCAGAGGTTTCAGTAATTATAATTGCCAGACCAAATGAGTGTCTGCAAGAAAATGTAAGTCATGAAAGTCAGTACAGACAGAACAAGAAATATTTATATCTTCCATAGTAAATGGGACTTTAAGTTTTAAAACTTTATTGACGCCCAAGCCAATATGAAATATGTTCTCCACAGATTAGTTTTATTCATAAACCACTAACGGCTAGAGAACACTAGTAAAGGGGATCAGTGTCAGTGCTTTAAACAACTTTACCCATCAGACACCACGTTGCAGTTTATGGGAAAGGAGAGAGAGACTCTCTGTTTACAGCAATGAATGTGCCAGTTATGGTGAGGGGTGTTATAATTATGTCATGTTCTAAGAGGTATACTCACCACAGACTTAGCCAGCTGAACAATCAAAGCAGACTGGGCTTTTCAGAAGGCAGTTTTAAAGAAACCAAAACTAAATCAATGTTCAGACAGTGGGTAAAAACAGGTGCTTCAACTGTGTAATTATAAGAGAAATACTGAACATTATTTGAACATTAAATTATGTAGACATATTCAAGTAGACCAAAACCTATTCTAGAAAAAAAAAAAGAAAAAAAAAAAGTTATAAACCTGTAAATGAGCATAATAGGGGTCCTGTAACACTTTCCCTGCCAGCGTTTATTAAAAAATTTGTCGCTAGCTTTTTAAAAAATCATTTTCATTTTCATTTTTGAACAAAAAGCTGAGAAAATCATGTTTTTGCTAATGACTACATCCGGATATTCAGAACGATGATCAAATACATAGATTGAGTCCATCAACACCCCTAAAGCTTATCTTATACCTCTTCCTTGGTTTACCATTTCATTCGGCTAAGGAGGGGCGTCACTAGGATTTTCATTTTAGGGGGGCTAAGCCCCCAATATGATTTTTAAAAAGTAAAAATAAAAAAGGTAACACTTTAGTTTATGATCTAAAGATCACTATTAACCATTTTCATACCGATGCAAAGGCACGGTTTTATTATAACTGTGGTCCCAAATGTGAGGTAGGGCAAATACGGGGGTTCGGGGTCTCCCTGAGAAAATTTTGATTTCTCTGATCTACATATGTGCATTTTAAGATGTTCTAAAGGCCAAAAAACTTGGATAGTGGGCAGCTGATTATTTTTCTCTCCTCATCAGCATCACACTCTTTTTCTCTTTGTTTTTCTCTTGCCCTGTCTCTTCCCCTCCTAAAGCTGAGCTTTGACTGATATAGGCTTTTCATTTTTGTCTGTCAGTGAAGAAAGTAAACATAGGGTCAACTGATAGGTTGATTTTGCCTATGAATCATTTTCTGAGACGCGTTTATTTACTGAAAGCTACTAAAGGTAATTAAGTTTATTAAATGCATTCACAATATGTAGGCAACACATTTATTATTGATCTTATGCCTAATACAGGGCCGTAGACAGGGCTTTATAATCACTGAGGTCCTAAATTTGAGGTTGGTAGGGGGTTCAAAATTTTATTTTGCATTTCAAGACGTTTGAAGACCAAAACAAAGGATAAGAAATAGCTTTAAAACAATGTCAGTGGGCAGATTATTTGTCAATACCTGCTCTCTTCTCATCTCCATCACTCTTTCTTTTTTTCTCAGTCTCTTCATCCCTTTCTCTTCCCGTCCTAAAGCTGAGCTTTTTTAATTTACTAAAGGCTACAATTTGTATTATATTCTCAATATGTACACATTCATTATTAATCTTGTGCCTAACATGATGAAAACGGCTTTGTTAATGTTTCTTGTAAACTAATTATTACATTACATGAGTCACGTTACATAGGCCTATTTTCAGTTCAAAATGGCGAAATTAGACAAAACTATATTAGTTTGCCTGATTATTTTTTGTCATTCGTTTAACATTTATGACCTAAAAAAAGTAAAATATGAAATGTTAAGTTTAGCTACTTATATCTTATCTCGCACTTGACCGTACGCGTCGAGTCGCACTGTTAAAATTCGCGCTCAGCAGCGTCTGTGAACATAAAGCCTGCCTACTTTGATTTGATTGGTCATCTCAAATATTCTGACATTGACGAGCAGTGACAGACCAATGAGGCTCAGATGAACACACACACACACACACCCTGTCCTCTGTTTCTGACGTGCTCTCTGCTCGGCGCCGCTGCGGATTGAAGATGAAGAACGCGCTGAATCTGATTATAACAAGACTGAAGCGAACACGAATTTGTGTAGCCTACATTAATCTCACATTTTTAGGGGGGCTAGGCAGAAGTTTAGGGCTGAAGCCCCCCTAAAAATGGCCTAGCGACGCCCCTGCGGCTAAGTTAGCATAAAGTTTAGATTTATATTGTTGTGATGTCAGTCTGTGTTCCCGTCTTTTCATGTTTAGCAGTTCCCTGTCATGTTTATTAGTCTCCCCAGGTGTTTCAGATTTATGTTGTGATGTCAGTCCCCTGTCTTTTCATGTTTGATTGTTTAGGTGTATGTTGGTTGTTGCTATTCTTGAATCCTGTTCCTGAGTCTGGTTTCCTGTCTAAGTTTGTATGGTTTGTAGTCTATTGAATAAAGTGTGCTGCAGTTGGATCCTGCTTCAACCACGCAAAACGTAACATATATGCTGTTGAATGTTTGATGATCATGTTAGCTTACATGTGTGTGAGCAATATTCTATTGCTTGTTTTTGCTGCTTCTTCTTAGCTTGTGTTTGGATGTCCTATTTCAGAAAACGCATAACAGCACCCACTACTGTATAACAGTGAAAACATGGATTGCAGGAAAAACTCATCAATGGCAGGGAAGAGTTGTGTCATAAATTACGGAAAATCTTGTCAATGGCGGGGTAAGAGTTAAGTGTTCAGATATGGCTGTCTGATTCTGTCCAGGAAACTCACAGAACAAATCATGAAAGTATAGAAAGAAAATAACTAAATCAGAGGTTTAATCTGTACTTATCTGTACCTAGTAAAGTCTGCAAGGTTCAAATGTAAATATATTAGTTCTACAATCCCAGACTGATCAATCTTAAATTGGTATGAAAAGCTGATAAAGTGTCTTGTTTTGTATGGTCCTCAATATGCATATAAAATAATTCCTTTCATCAGATTATTATGCAATATATTATGTAAATTATAATATATTATGTAAATTATAAAAGTAGCATAAACTTTTGAGTACTAGTATGTTGCATTGTGCCATATGTTGCTTTAGATAATGCTAAAAGCATAAAAGTAAAGTTTGAGATTATTTAAACATATTCAACACTGTAATTTATGTAACTTCGTAAACACATTCATTCAATTTGACATTGCATCTTTATTCAGTTCTGTGCAAATTTGAAAGACTGAAACAAGAGCACTTGAACGGACACAATTCCTGCTAATCAGAAAACCACTGGGCTACTGATCTTCAGAATGTGTTCTTCAATTCACAGTCATTAGCTTATCTCATGCTCTTTCTTTCTTTCTTTCTTTCTTTCTTTCTTTCTTTCTTTCTTTCTTTCTTTCTTTCTTTCTTTCTTTCTTTCTTTCTTTTTTTTAGTGGCTGCTCCTGACCTCCTTGATCCTAAAACAGCCGCTCATAACTCCAGACCTCGTCTCTCATTCTCGGCTCAACCAGTGCTGCTGAAGTCTTCTGAAGACTTTGAGCCTCGTGTAACCGTCATGCGCTGGAAAACAGTGCTGACCGTCTTCTTGCTGGTGGTGCTGTACTTGATTATTGGAGCAACTGTGTTTAAAGAGTTGGAACAGCCTCACGAGATGTCAAAGAAACTGGCCATCCTAGTGGAAAAACTGGAATTCCTTGAGCAGCATCCATGTGTGAACTCCTCAGATCTGGAATATTTAGTGAAGGTAAAACAGCAGACTTGCACACAAACTTGCACACTTTCCGGGCCACACAAATAGTTTCCCTTGACCCACATACAGTATAGTATGACGGCCCTGGGATGGCTTAGACCTGGACTACAGACAAGAGCCACACAAGGGCAATAACAGGCCCAAATCTCAGGCAAATAATAACCCATAACCAGCCCTGAACAAGGCCAGAACAAGTTTTAATTGTGGTACCAAATCTTAGCCTTCATTAAATCAAATCAACACAACAGTCTTTAACCAGAAACCCCAAAACTGAGCCACAAAAATGACATCAAATTGCTCAGCCATGGATCCATCCATAGGCAGTAAAACCAACACATTCTCATCCTATGGCGTCATATAGGTGACGCCATATGACATTTCGTCGAAATCTTACGCACATGGGATCCTTTAGCGTCAATATAACACACACTGTAATGGGTAGGTTTAGGTCTGGGGTAGGGTTACGGTTATGACGCCTTGGGATCTGCGTCTCATATTGACGCTAAACGATGCCATGTGCGTAAGATTTCGACGAAATGTCAAAAGCGTCACATGTATGACGCCTTGGGTTCTGCGTCTCATATTGACGCTAAAGGATGCCATGTGCGTAAGATTTCGACGAAATGTCAAAAGCGTCACATGTATGACGCCTTGGGTTCTGCGTCTCATATTGACGCTAAAGGATGCCATGTGCGTAAGATTTCGACGAAATGTCAAAAGCGTCACATGTATGACGCCTTGGGTTCTGCGTCTCATATTGACGCTAAAGGATGCCATGTGCGTAAGATTTCGACGAAATGTCAAAAGCGTCACATGTATGACGCCTTGGGTTCTGCGTCTCATATTGACGCTAAAGGATGCCATGTGCGTAAGATTTCGACGAAATGTCAAAAGCGTCACATGTATGACGCCTTGGGATGAGAACGGGCTGGTAAAACACACATTCACACCAATAGATAATTTAGTGTTTGCAATTCCATCTTTGGATTGTGAGGGAATCCAGATCTGAGGGAAAGACCTTCTGGCTCAGCTGGGAGTTGAACCAGGGACCTTCTAGTTGCAGTGTTTCCCACTGAGCCACTGTGATGCCCTTAATCACAGCCATAAGACACAGATACTATGTATACTAATGTTGTATGTTTTTAAGGTAAAGCAAACAAACAACAATAAAAAAAATGTAGAGGTTCTAAACTTTTCTGTATGTTTAGATAAATGCTGAAATGTACAACACACAGCAAAACACCCGCGCAAAGCGGACTTTTCCCTCCACAGACACACGTCGGTTAACTAAGAAATACACTTGCGCTCCCCGGGGCGGTTCAGCGCAAAGAGGAGGCGTGTTCCGGCGCAAACTTTCCCTCATGCTATTTTGCTGTTCTATAAAATAATTGCGCCACTGACCAGAAAAAACCTAGTCTAAAGTCAGTGGCGCGTTGCGCGTTGTTCATTATGCTCAGTGGTGGAGGAAGTACACTAAAAAAAATGATATGTTGGCTTTACTTAACTTTTTTATGTAAACAGGTTGCACCGGTTCCACATAACTATGTTTCGTTAAACAAACATAATATGTTCATGTACTTCAACATCATGGAATTTGGTCATTTTAAGCGACCCAATTAAACTCTGAGCTAATGAGTTAATTAAGTGAATAATTGAGTGATGATTGAGCATTATTGAAGACACCTGATGTTAACAAGCAGAATCTCTGAAGGAGAAAACCGGAATGTTTAAGTCACCATTATGGAGATAAGTGTGTGTTTTAGTTGGTCTCTTGACCATTAACTTATTAACTTTAAATTTTGTTTGGTTGCTGTACATGAGTTATAACAGCCAGATGAACAATAAACAAAGGTCATCTGATGGTGTTGGTTGTGTTTTAACGTAATCATTATTTCACAATCATTTGACCTGAGTCACTGAACTTATATTAAACCGAATTTCTGAGTTAACCCTCTGGGGACCAGAGTGTTTTTGGGGCCCTTGGGATGTTTTGACATGCACTGACATTTGTGCTTTTTTCAGTTATTTATAAACATGTTAATGGCAAAGGTGTAAATTCACTCTATATAGCACAAACTTGGCTACCATGAGATCTGAGCAACATGTATGTACATGTTTGTATTTTTAATAGAATAATGTTTATGCGTGGTTATTGAAAAAAAATAAAAATGAAAGTTGCTGAAATAAGACCACAAAACACATATTGATTATTTCTTCACAAGACTTTTGAAAATTGTATCACATAGCCTAGAATATTTGCTCCAAAACTATGTGAGAATCATCCTGACTACTCATTCAGATAAGTCAATAAAGTCTTTTACATTTTTAATGACGTGTTTTGTTTGAGAAAGCTTTATGCAGGAGGCTTGATCTCTCATTAATATGTGTGGCATTCCACACCTGAGAAAGACAAAGACCCTCCCCATAATGGCCCTATTAGGTGCTATCAGGCCATATCATTACAGGAGCCTTGCACAAAGAATGAGGAGATTTAAAAAAGAATGGCTTTTAGATTGTTTGGATTTAAATAAGGAAAATACAGGGTGCATACGTCTGGACACTTCTATCACACACCCTTCACCATATAGACATGGTTTTATTTCAGTTCAAAGTTCAAAGTTAGAGTTGGAAACATCTTGAAAAGAAAATAGTCTTTTTCCATAAATGTCTTAGTTTGATCATACATATTTCAAAGTTGAGGATTTATTATTTTGATATAGCTTGCATTGGAACAAACATCTTAGTTGATTAGTTTATTGACAAAACATAAGCTTATTTGATGTCTTTATTTTGAAGCTTATTTGATGCTTATTTGATTTGAAAAACTTTATCCAAAACTAGTCAAAGAAATGTTCTTTTATTTCGTCTGTAACAGTGCGTATCTGTGCGTTCATTCATTCACACACACACACGCACACACGCACACACACACACACACACACACACACACACACACACACACACACACACACACACACACACACACACACACACACACACACACACACACACACACACACACAGAGAGAGAAACATAATTCACATTTAAACAGTAGGATATGCTATTTGTCCGTTTACAGACACTAACGTTATTCTATATCGCGATTAGAACAAAGCACAAAACACTTACACTTCTCAGCTGAATCTGTTGCTCCTCCTCGAAGTGAAAATAAACCAGCCCTTCTGTGGTAAATGTCCCAGGATTATTCCTCATAGCCGCACAAGACGAATCTTAATCTGACTAAAAAATATTGTGTGTTTACAGCATTTGCCTGGGGGCGTTTATCTATTTTGCAAATGGCCTCAACACATTATCTTATGAATAGCGCGCTCTGCGAGTGGGTGTGAACAAATTAACGATAATGAGCTGAGACAGGAGAAACTGTACTTCTCTTTAGTTTTTGACAGATTACATTGCAGGAGAATATTTGTTTTAAATGTGAATTGTTTTATTTAAAAGTAGAAATTTAAAGCGTTCTTTAGACGTATGTTTCATGTTTGTGTGATAAGTATTAGCGGAGTTTCCGTTCATTTTCCAGACATGTTTCAGAAAGATTTTTGCGGAGACAGAGTGAGCTGAAAGCGCACCCTGTTTATTTTATTTATTTTTAAAAAAACACAAGGTTTTGATGTTAATGTGAGTGTACACAAAAAAAGAAGACCCTCTATAGTTTATAATCATGTATTGATTTTATTTATATGACCATAAATGACGGAGTATTTTAAGTCTATGTTGCTGCTATGTGAAAAAAAAACAGCAAAACGCGCGGGCGCGTTCTTGGTCCCCAGAGGGTTAAGTTTATCTTACGAATAATAGCAGCACTGTCATTGTAGAGCATACTATTTTTAGACTTTTCAATGAAATTTTAATGATCAAATCAATAAAAAATAAAAATAAAACTTCCTAAAAAAATATTTTGAGTAGGCACACACAGACATCAAGAATCTGCCTGTGAATCTCAACAATGGTGACAAGTATAAAGCATGTTGCAGTGCATTCTGGGTACCACCAATCAAAACTAATTCATTGCTGCATGAATAAATAATGAGCTTATGATCTGTTTGTCACCATTGCTGAGATTCATATGCTGATTCTTGATGTCTGTGTGTGCCTACTCAAGATATTTTTTAAGAAGTTTATTTTTTATTTCTTGATTTGAATTTCGTTGAAAAGGCTGAAAATAGTATGCTCTACAATGACAGTAAGGTAAACTTAACTCAGAAATTGGGTTCAATATAAGTTCAGTGATTGAGGTCAAATGATTGTGAAATAATGATTATGTTAAATCACAACCAACACCATCAGATCTCCTCAGATCATTGTTCATCTGGCTGTTATAACTCATGTACAGCAACCAAACAAAATCTAAATTTAATAAGTTAACCCTCTGGGGTCTGAGGTGTTTTTGGGGTCCTTGAGATGTTTTGGCATGCTCTGACATTTGTGCTTTTTTCAGTTGCTTATAAACATATTAATGGCACAGGTGAAATTACACTCTATATAGCACACAAAGGGCTACCATAATATGTTATCAACATGTATGTACATGTTTGTATTTTTGAGAGAATATTGTTTATGCGTGGTTATTGAAAAAACTAAAAACTAAAGTTTCTAATATAAGGCCACAAATAACATACTAAATATCTGTCCACAAGACTTTTGACTAGTGGATGTTGTCGCCTAGAGTTTTTGCTTCAAATTGATCTGAAAATCATTCTGCCTAATCATTCACATAAAACAATAGATTGTTTTAAATTGTGAAAAACATTTTTTTGTTTGCAAAGGCAATATGCGGATGGGCGGAACGGCCCAACCCCCTCATGAATAATTAGGCAGTTCTCACCTGAGCAGACTGCATACTAATGAGCCTTTCATTCAGGGGTGTCACACAAGAAAGAATGCAAGGACAATATATATATAAATAAATAAATATTTATATACACACACACACACACACACATATATATATATATACACAAACAATCAAAATATA